TGCGATTATCTTTTGAAGATATTTTTATTTTGGGGCAAAAGTGAAATTATCTTTTGAGATATTTTCTATGGGGGACTTTTGTGCAATTAGTGGAAGTTAAGGTAATGTATCTTATTTTGGTTAGGATGCTTGCACATGATTCTTTTCGGTCTTTCTTCGAGCCATGGATTCTTAAAAATTCTTTTCGGTCTTTCTTCGAGCCATGGATTCTTAAAAATGCTTTTCGAACATTTTCCCCCGTTTTAGGAATTTTGACCCGAGAAGTCGCCATGTGGGTCCAGGACGGATTGTGGGGTACGAGATTCGTTTTTCAATGCTGTTTCTTTTTTTTTTTTCATTATTTTGTCCGCCAGTGTTTTTACATTTACGATTTCTATCCATTTGAGCGCGCTTTGACAACTTTTACTTTTCGGGGTCACGGTTCGGGCGATATTTTTGAAAAGAGTAAAAAAGTTTCTCTCCCTCTTGGCCAAATTTTTCTTTCTTTTTAGATCTTTTTCTTCTCTCCTCCATTTAGTCACATTCCTTTGTGATTCGGCCCTTGTCGTAGAAGGGTTTTGTGATGGCCTTGGTACGGCCTTACTTTTCATCCAAATAAATTTTCGTTTTATCTGTTTTTGAGTTTTGGAGTTGAGCTCGGGTTTGGATTTGGGTGGTGCCGCAACAGGGTTTATTTTTCTTCTCGTTGTCCTTGACATAACCCCGAAGTTACGTCGTATTCAGGACATTTCGTTTTGGCCTTTTTGAGGGTTTCACCTCAATGTAAAGTAGGAGTGTCTTATGCTAGTAATTTACACTTTCTTTGGGTCTTATGGATGTGGAGATATGTAAAGTATGATTGTTTGCAATATGTATACATGAGCCATGTTTTATTTGATATATATATGCAATGTTTAAGGTGTGGAATTGTTATCATTTTTTCCTTAGGCTTATATTGGGTTTTGGAAATGTTAAGCATGATAGGAAGAGGTGAAAGTTGAGTGTTTGATTGATTTATAATTACCTAATCATGCTTTATATGGAAATGATATGATAATGGATATTTATGTGCATATGTGTTTATATGTGTAATATTTCTGAATTTTGTCATTTTCCATTTTCTGTAAATTTTTTATTTTCGGGGGTATTTTTTATTTTTCTCGTTTTGCGTACCAAACACCGTGGGGTGTACCGAGTGTGTCTGAGAGTTACGTGGGATATTTCCTTATGTTCAGGACTCTTGGAAATGCACCGGTTGCCATTTTGGTTTTTTTTCGTTTTTCGGACAAGAAGGTCTTGGGTGGGACCCGCTACCGGAATCGTTATACACGGGGGTTGTGTTACGGGCTTATTGCATTTCATGCATATTTATTTTGTGCATAATTTTGTGGTAATATGTTATATTGTGTGGTTGAAATTAAATAGGAATTATATATATATATATATATATATATATATATATATATATATAATGTATGAGGGAGATTTGTTTTTGTTGTGTGGGGCCCACCCCACTTTTCCATTTTAAATGGCTAAGAGGCCATCAAATGGCCTCATATTTTCTCTCTCTGTCTCTCCCGTCAAAAAATTCTCTCTCTCTCTACAAGTGTTTTTCTCTCTCTAAAATCAAGAATTCAAAGCTTGATTTCTTTTCCACCTTTGAGACTTTTGTGTTATCGCTTTGGGCAAAGTTGTAGAGCTCATCGAGGCCAGCGTTTTGATCAGAGCCGATCTCCGTTTGGCCACCTTTGGGGATTTTGAATTTCTAGGGTTTGGGGTGGAAGTTTGAGGCTTTTCTTCAAAATTGAGGTAGGGGTTCATAATCCATGACTTCTTAGACTTTTGTGAGTTAATTTTTCCATGATTTATGGTTGAGCATGTTAAATTGTATTGATTCCCTCCAAAATGATTTATTTGTTGTATATGAACTATATGCCTATGTATATATGATGATTTGTGTGAGAAAACATGCTTATGTGATGTTGTTCCATGTCTATTATGTTCAAGTTGCTAGAATTGGAAATATGGAAGCATGTGATTTCATGAGTTATAAAATTTTCCTTTGACATGGTATTGGAAAGCATGAGACATCCATGCATATCACTGGGCATGAAATGGGAAATTTTGATTTAAAGGAAAAGTAAATGATTTTAGGGAAAAAGTTTGATGAAAGGTTTGCGAAAACCCGGATGCCTAGGAGGCGTCTAGTGGTCCGTGGTGTTAATGTAATCTAGAGGGAACTAGGGAGAGACTCTAGTGTGGTTGAGCTGCCTAGGCCTAGACGACTCCATGAAGGTGCCATGTGGTCGGGGATAGCTAGCTAACTTTTCCCTCATGACGCCATAGAGGCGTTATCGGTCGGATTGCATTAACGGTTTGGAACGATGAAACAAAAATGTTTTGGAAAGCATTTCATTGCATTCTATAGCACGGCATAGATTATTCATGACTTGGACAATTGATATTGATGTTGTGGTTGTGTTTCTCCCGGTATGGTATGATCCCATTTTCCCTTTCTCCTATTCATTTTTGGATTCAAAGGGTTTCAAGAGGTGTGTCTTAGGCACCTCCTACTGAGCTATTGTGCTCATCCCTTTATTATTAACATTTTTTAGGGCATGGGAAAGAAGTGGCATAGGACATTCCCCCACAAACCTAGTTTGAAGATATTAAAGTTCTTTTGCTACCTTTTGTACATTTGTGCCTGTTCTTTTGTAGAGCCGCATTTTTTTGAATGTACCCGTTCTGTATAGCATGGCCATGTATTATAAATATAATGCTAGATAGTAGTTTGATGTAAATTAAGAATTGTAAATATAACGCTAGATAGTAGTTTGATGTAAATTAAGAACTATGTCGGCATAATGTAATGAATGGAAAATATATGGATGTGTTTTGTGTAATCTTTGATATCTATAATTGTAGAATGTTGTGCATTTTTGTTGTATAGTGTTTGCCGTGAATTTGGGATTTGTTTGCGTATTAGGTTTGGTACAGGCCGGCTCACAATGGGCCTAGCTCATCTGATGTTTTAGCTGCAGATAGCAGCATTTCAGGGCCTATCGTCCTGCTAACAAGGACAATCAGCCGGCTGACAGTGTAGATCTTTGGTATTCCAGTAGGTCAAGTCAGTGTGAATGTTGTTTCGGCCGGTTGACAAGCATTGTCAGCCGACCGAACTCCCTTGTGAGTCAGCCGATGTTGGATGATCTGTCGGCCGATAGCCCTATTTTCTGAAGTCCCAAGAGCATTCAATTTTGGAAATCGTTTCAGCCGGCCGACCCTGTGGACCAGTCGGCAAAGTCCTAAGAGTTTCCATATTTAGGGGTCATTTCAGCCGATTGACCATCTCAGTCAGCCGGCTGATTATACTGTTTCAGCCGACCGATAAAAGGCCACCAATCGGCTGACCTTGCCTTTAACCTGCACATTGACCTACTTCTTCTAAGCTATGTTTTAGAAATACTATGGACCTTCAAATGATCTGTGTATCACCTGCAAGCATAGGGAATAACGATTGCACCCTTAGTTGACCTCAGGTCTGGGTAAGGACCCGGTTAACTGTTCGGACCCATGGGCTTGGGTCGTTACAAAATTGATATTAGAGCGATGGTTCGAATACCATTAGGACGATGGGTAGAGGCCTACCTAGGATTTCATGGGGAAGTTGAATTACATGTTTAATTGCTTATGTGTTAAGTGTTTAAGTTATTTGAGAAGCACGCTTAATTGCTTACTTGCTTACCTGCTTATGTGATTACATGTTAAGTGTTTAAAATTGTTATGTATTGCTAGCATGATCTTGTTTATCATTGGTTGGGTGTTCCAGGGGTATGGAAAGTGGTTAAGTGTTATCATTTCTTGTTGAGTTATTTGTGTGAGGACTCTGTTCTTGTGTGTATAAGTGTCATTGTTTTGATCCGTTCTCTCGTTTTATAGCGTCATGCCACCACAAAAGGATCCCGGGGAGAGTTCTAGCTCTAACCCCATAGAAAGGGATCAAGAACAAGTTGAAGAAGATGTGTTGTTATGGGATTTGGTCCCACCAAGAGAGAGATAAACGAGGGGGACCGTTGATCCACCTCTTCAGATAAGTGAGGAGCAGTTAAAGTTGGCTGTATAGGTAGGCTTTCATGATGTGTTTCGACATGCCGGGGAGTTATTGTCATAGGTTATGCCACCACCGGCACCACCCCCAAAGAAAAAATGATTCGGATAAGACTGTATATTATACTACAAAATTTGTGAAGTTGATGCCGACTCTGTTTAAGGGCGGCCCAAATCCGCTTGTTGCGGGTAATTTCATGGAAAGGGTGGAGAAGCATCTTAACACTATGAATTTGGCATCGGACAAGTTGAAAATTACCTTGGCTACTTACAATTTTATTGGGGATGCAGAGATTTGGTGGAAGACCATGTCTCATACCCACAATGTGGATACTATGACATATGATGTTTTCAGGAAACTTTTCTATGAGAAGTATTTTCCGGTGCCTTAGAGAAGGGAGTTGAAGAAAGAGTTTGATGGCTTAAAACAAGGAAATATGACAGTCACCGAATATAAGAACAAGTTCACATTTTTTTTGAGGTTTGCACTAGAGATTTCCAAAAATGAGGAAGGGAAAAAAGAAAAATTTATTGATGGCCTTGACCTTGTCATTAGGCCAATTATGGCTGCCACAGAATTGACCGAATATGCAAAAGCAGTGAGGAAGGCTTTAATGGTTAAGGCTGAAAGCAAAGACAACAAAGCTATTAGGGAGTCCTATAAGCATAGCAGGAGTAAGCAGAAGAATGAACAGTCAAGGTTCAGGGGACAACAATCAGCCAGATTTGCACCCACTGCTTCAGTGTCCATTGGGTCTTTTAAACTGACTATTACTTGTTTCAGATGCGGGGCAGCTGGGATATTACAAGTCCCAGTGTACTGAGGCTCAGGTGGTTTGTTTCAAGTGTGGGCAGGTGGGGCATCTCAAGTCCCAGTGCACGCAAGTCCAAGCGGCGTCAGGTGGATATTTTGGATGTGGCTAGCAGGGCCACCGGGTGAGAGATTATCCACAGCAGAGCAAAGGCTCAGGCAGGGGTGGAAGTTCACAGAAGAGGCAGACACAATCCACCATAGTTTAGTCAGGGTTTCGACAGCCACCACCACCTCAGCCATCTTAGCCAATTATAACAGCTCAGAGTTCTCGACCGGGCAGAAGGGCTTCTTCTACTGCACCAACTCAGTAGTCTGGTTATCAGGTAGGTGGTTCTTAGGGGAAGAAGACCCAAGGTCGTGTGTATGCATTCACTCCAACTGATCCATCTTCCAATTCTTCAGTTGTCAAGGGTATGTTCCTTGTGTCCCATTCTTGGGCTAGGGTGTTGTTTGATTCTAGTGTTTCCTTTTCATTTATTGTTTCATCTTTTGCATGGGCATTGGGGTTGGAGGTCAGTCAGTTAGACAGACCGTTTTGTGTTGACACGCCTATTGGGGGTTCAGTCACTCTTGGTAGAGTTTGTAGGGGTTGTTCTATCACGATTGTTGGACGTGTTCTTGAGTTCGATCTCATCCTTCTCGAGATGACAGGGTTTGACGTCATTCTTGGGATGGACTCGTTGTCTTCATTCAGAGCCATTATTGATTGTTTTAGGGGCAAAGTTTCAGTATGTACCCTAGATGGGGATTGTTTCTGTTTTGTGGGGGACCGGTGTGATTCTTTCACTCCTTCATTCTATGGTATTAGAGGTCAGGATCGACAAACGTTCTTTTTAGCTAGCCTCTTAGCTGATGATGACGTTGAGTTTTGTTGGGTTGATTATCCGAAGGTTGTGCGTGATTTTCTGGATGTGTTTCCGAAGGACTTGACAGAGTTTCCTCCACACCAAGAGGTGGATTTTGCTATTAACTTGATGCCTGGTATCATGCCAATTTCTATGGCACCATATCGTATGGCACCGATTGAATTAGAATAATTAAAGAAGCAGCTAGATGATTTGCGAGTGAAAGGTTTCATCCGATTGAGTGTCACCGTGGGGAGCACCGGTCTTGTTTGCTAAGAAGAAGGATGGTTCTTTGAGGTTGTGCATTGATTACCGGAAGTTGAATCATTCTACCATCAAGAATAAGTATCATTTACCAAGGATATATGATTTGTTTGATCAGTTAAAGGGAGCCAGTTGTTTTTTTAAGATTGACTTGAGGTCTGGTTATTATCAGTTGCGGGTTAAGGATGAGGATATTCCGAAGACCACTTTCCGTACACGGTATGGACATTATGAGTTCCTTGTTATGCCTTTTGGCTTGACTAATGTGCCAGCGACATTCATGGACTTAATGAACCGTGTCTTCTACAATTACTTGGACCAGTTTGTGGTAGTTTTTGTGGATGACAAACTTGTGTATTTACGGACTCGGGAGGAGCATGAGGTCCATTTGAGTATAGTGTTGTAGATTCTGTGGGAGCACCGTTTGTATGCCAAATATGAGAAATGTGAGTTTTGGCTACATGAGGTGAAATTTTTGGGATATGTCGTCTCGGAAGGTGGAGTATCAGTTGATCTATCAAAGATTGAAACAGTTTTGAATTAGGAGCAGCCCAAAAATGTTTTTGAGATCCAGAGTTTTCTTGGCCTAGCGAGGTATTATCGTCGGTTTGTAAAGGATATTTCCCGTTTGGCAGCTCCTATGACTAGATTGACTTAGAAAGGGATCAAGTTTGCATAGAACGAAGCTTGTTAGTCTTCCTTTCAAGAGTTGAAGACAAGGTTGACTACGGCTCCAGTGTTGGTGATACCCGAGCGTAGCTTGGGTTATGTGATCTATTGTGATGCTTCACGCGATGGTTTGGGTTGTGTGCTGATGCAGGATAGTAGAGTAGTCGTTTATGGGTCTCGAAAGTTAAAGACTCACGAGCTTAACTACCCTACTCATGACTTAGAGTTGGCGGCAGCCGTGTTTACTTTGAAGTGCTAGATGCACTACTTGTATGGTGAAAGATTCGAAGTGTTCTCAGACCACAAGAGTCTCAAGTATCTTTTCTCCCAAAAGGACTTGAACAACAGACAAAGGCGATGGGTTGAGTTCTTGGAAGACTGTAATTTTGATTTGCAGTATCATCCGGGCAAGACAAATGTTGTAGTTGATGCCTTAAGCCAGAAATCTCGTCGGACTTTGGCTGGATTAGCCATTCAGAAGTAGAAGATGCTTCAGGATCTGGCAGAGATGGGATTGTTTTGCTTTGATGATGATGATGGCAGTGAGTCAGCATTCTTGTTTATCTCATGGCTCAACCCACTGTTGTCGAACGAGTGATTGAGTCACAAAGACAGGATCCGGATTTGGATACCATTCACACTTTGATCTCTAGTGGCGAGATAGTGAAAGATTGGACCTTGCATGCAGATGGAGTTCTACAGTTCAGGGGTCTGTTAGTTATTCCTACAGTTAGTCGTGAGGACGTCTTACGGGAGTTTCACACTTCCTATTTTGCAATTCAACCAGGTGGTACTAAGATGTATCACAATTTAAGTTATCAACATTAGTGGAATGGGATGAAGAAGGATGTTGCACAGTATGTGACTAGATGTCTTATTTGTCAGCAGGTGAAAGCCAAGCACCAGAGACCAGCAGGTTTGCTACAGCCATTGTCGGTAGCGTAGCGAAAATTGGAACATATTGCCATAGATTTTGTGACAAGTTTTCCTAAGTCACAGAGGGGAAGTGAAACCGTATGGGTCATTATTGACAGATTGACTAAGACGACTCACTTTTTGCCTATTAAGGCAACAGATGACACAGAGGCACTTGGCGTGCTATATGTGAAGGAAATTGTACGACTTCACGGAGTTCCATTATCTATTATTTCAGATAGGGATGCCAAATTCACTTCAAAGTTCTGGGAAGGACTTCACGCAGCATTTGGCTCATCGTTGCATCTTAGTACGGCATTCCATCCACAGACGAACGGCCAGTCGTAGCGTACCATTCAGATATTGGAGGATATGTTTCGGGCATGTATACTTGATTTGGGAGGTAGTTGGGAGGATCACCTTCCACTTATTGAGTTTGCCTATAACAATAGTTATCAGGCTAGCATTGTGTAATACCCCTAATTTTAAAAGGATAGTCTCGGCATTTATTTATTATTTTTATTGTATTTTTGGGTGATTATTTGGTTTAATTATTATTATTTTTTATTTATTAATTTGATTTAATTGTTTACCTATGTGACATGTGTTTATTTTATTTATTAATTTGATTTAATTGTTTACCTATGTGACATGTGTTGTCTTTTATTTTTTTAATTGGTTAAGTATATTTAATTATTTAATCGAGTTTTAATTTAATTATGTTTTAAGTTACAGTTAACTTTGGGGTTGGAATTTCACGTATAACATATAGGTAAGCCGTAACAGAGATAGTTTCATGGGCCGACTAGGTTTAGAATTAGGGCTTTGTCTCTGATTAAACACGGATTAGGGTTTATGATTTTTACGCCTATATATATACGGTTATAATCTGTATCAAGGGTTGGAAAAACCCTATTCACGTACCAAAGATACAGAGAGTGAAACAGAGAGCAGTTGTGGGAAAACAGAGTGAGGCTTAAGAGGAATTGTACAGAGAGGACCAAGGAGGTTGAGTAAGGATTAGAGACAGAGTTATAGGAAGCTTGGCGGCGCTCAGAATTGTCGGAAAACTTAGAGACGACACAGGGATTTCAAAATTGAAATCACAGGCAAGTTCTTATCTTCCTCTTTCCCTTTGGCTTGTGTTCTGTGCACCTAGACAGTCTCTAGGAGATTAATTGGCCTTAAACTGAACCATGCATGTTTTATATATGTTTTACTTGATCGTTTTATCTGTGAAAAAATTTATTTACAAAACAATTATAGCACGTATGTTTTTCTTGACTCTGTTTTGGCATAATGTCCCACTGTTCTAATTTTTATTTTGAACCTTACTGAAATCAACCAAGGTCTGATTGGATACTAGATGTAATTTAAGACTTCAAATTTAAATTGGAGGAAGAACAGAGGGGTTGGGATAAAACTGATGTTGCAATTTAGTTTCAGTGTTGTTCTTCAACAATGCTAGTTTAAATGGCTTGATTAAACTCTGTAATTGTTTTCAAAATTATTGTAAACAATCTTGGGGAATGCTTCTAGACTAAATTAAGGTTCCTAAGATTAGTTTTTAGAAACCCACAGAGTGGAAGGAATTGATCAGAGAAGGAGCGGACGGACTGAAACGAAGCAACAGGGACAGAGGCTCTCAAAGGAGGTGAGAGCCAGCTCCATGGATGTGGGAGCCGGCTCCCACAACAAGTAGAGCTAGCTCTAGGGAGTCCTAGAGCCGGCTCTAGGCTGGAAAAAGAGCCTGCTCCAAATTTTGGAGCAGGCTCCCTTTTTATTTTCTGATTTATTTTAAGTTTTTTTAATTTTCTACGTACTATGTTCACTGTTGGAGCATGGAGACTATTTGAGTGAATTTGGAACTTTACAGAGGGATTAAGGAATGAATTTTGAGTGTTATTAAGACCCTAAATTGATTAAAGTTTAATTCTAAATTGTCGGGACAAACAGTATAAAAATTAAGGCACTTCCTATGTTATTAACAAATGGAAGTTGAATTAATTGTTGAATTAAATTTCAGCAATTTGATGGAATATAATGTGTTTATAAAACTTGTTTTAGAATGCATTCAAGTGCATGATAAGATCATTTAATTATTAATTTTGATCTATGCATGCTTAGGAGGCTAGTTGCTGAATTATTAAATCGTTTCTTGCAACTATATGGTTAATGCTTGGATTTAAATTGCCGAAATATTAAACAATCTTCTGAAATTGTTTTAGCAATTTATTGGATAATAATAGGATTATTTAACCTATTCACATGCATGATGGAGTCCCTGACATATTAAATTTGGTTTATGCATGCTCTGGATGTTAGATGTTGATTTGTTAAATCGTCTCCTACAACTATATGGTTAAATGCTTGGATTTAAATTGTTGAAGCTTTAAATATTTTTCTGCAATTATTTGGATGGTGGTTTTTGGGTCTGTAAATTATTGAACTGTTATATATGTTGTAATTTACATGGATATGGAGGATTGTATGTACCGGTATAGGACGGTGACATACTAGGGACGGTTTAGCTCAAAACGCATAAACCTAACCTAATGGATTAATGGAATGGATTGGAAGATATCGAATCCTAATTGTGACTAAGTCAGATCAGCTGTAACCAAGTTGGATGACTTCCTGGATTAAGGAATGGTAGTTAAGTCATATCAACTAAAAAAGTTGAGTGACTAACTAGTTGGTTTATTGTATGTCAATTTAATAAATAGTTGAACTGCATACCCTGGATTTGGACGGACTTTATATATATGTTTATGGTACCACGAGTTGAGCTTAAGTCTCAGACTCGTTGGTTAGGGTGCGTATATGCGGTGGATGCGTAGCTGGTTATAATAGGTTGAGGTGTACCCTGTTAGGTCTAGGTACTCATACCCACCTTTGGGTGCGTATTCGCATGTTGCCTTCTATTCAGGTTGAGACCCCTATTATAGACTAGTGAATATCCCTTAGTGTGGATATATTTATACATATGAACTAGATAGATATTGTGAGGTGTCTACGGTGTAGCTGCGTATCGGGTCACTGTATGGATTGCAGTTAGATTAGAACTTGCTCGTGGGTCTGACCTACTCCTTTATTATTCTTTTCAGGTATAGGACGGTTCCAACCTTAGAGCTTGATCGTGCTTATCGAGGACAGTCTCACTTTCATCGGATTACGTAGGACTTCCCCCGATGTTTCTAGTATTATCTATTTTCAGTTTCAGTCTCAGTTGAATTTTTTAGTTAGGGGTCCATTAGTGGATTCCCAAGTTGTAACTTTGAAGTTTTGGAGGATTAGAGTTTCAATTTTCAGTTACACATGGAGGATTTTATTATTATTATTTCTTTCAGTTTTATTCTATCTTTATTGTCTTTTTGTCATCTGTGTTCGTTTTAAAATACTTTAATTGTTTGATATTCTCTCGGGTTTGGGCCTGGGCCTGATCAACCCGTGTCTCGGATCCGAGGGGTATCACACATTGAGATGGCTCCATTTGAGGTGTTGTATGATAGACCTTATAGGTCTCCAGTCTGTTGGACTGAGGTGGGCAAGACAGCCGCCTTAGGACCCGACATTGTACTCGAGACTGCTGAGAAGATTAAGCTAATCAGACAGAGGTTACTCACAGCTCAGAGCCAACAGTAGAGTTATGTGGATAGGCGGAGATGAACGCTATCCTTTGAGGTGGGAGACCATGTTTTTCTTCGGGTTTCTCCACGAAAGGGATTGATGAGGTTCGGAAAAAGTGGCAAGTTGTCGCCACGATTCATTGGACCATTTGAGATTTTAGATCGGATAGGAGAGGTTGCCTACAAGCTTGCATTGCCACCACAGTTGGACAATGTTTTTCATGTATCTATGTTGCGGAAATATGAGCCGGATCCGTCTCACATTCTCGATTGGGTTGATGTAGACATTGATGAGGATGTCTCCTATGAAGAGGGATTAGTTCAGATCCTTGACATATGGCAGAAGGTGTTAAAGGACAAGACGATAACTTTAATAAAGGTGCTTTGGAGGCATCACGAAGTTGAGGAGACTACTTAGGAGCTCGAGCAGAAGGTTCGCTCCAAGTATCTAGTGTTGTTTTCTCCCTCAGGTATGGTTTAATTTCGGGGATGAAATCTTTTAAGTTAGGGAGAATGTAATATTTCTGAATTTTGACATTTTCCATTTTCTCAAAATTTTTTATTTTCGGGGGTATTTTTATTCTTTTTCGTTTTGCGTATCGGACACCGTGGGGTGTGCCGGGTGTGTCTGAGAGTTGCGTGAAACATTTCTTTGGGTTCAGGACTCTTCGAAATGCACCGGTTGCCATTTCGGCATTTTTTCGTTTTTCTGACCTGAAGGTCCCGGGTAGGACCTGTTACCAGAATCGTTGTACACAGGGGTTGTGTTACGGGCTCATTGCATTTCATGCATATTTATTTTAGGCATAATATTATGGTAATGTGTTATATTGTGTGGTTGAAATTAAATTAGAATTATATATATATATATATATATATATATATATATATATATATAATGTATGAGGGAGATTTGTTTTCGTTGTGTGGGGCCCACCCCACTTTTCCTTTTTAAATGCCCTCATATATATATTTTCTCTCTCTCTCTCTCTCTCGTCAAAAAATTCTCTCTCTACAAGTGTTTTTCTTTCTCTAAAATCAAGAATTCAAAGCTTGCTTTCTTTTCCACCTTTGAAATTTTTGTGTTACCGCTTTGGGCAAAGTTGTAGAGCTCGTCAAAGCCATCGTTTTGATCAGAGCTGATCTCCGTTTGGCCACCTTTGGGGATTTCAAATTTCTAGAGTTTGGGGTGGAAGTTTGAGGCTTTTCTTCAAAATTGAAGTAGGGGTTCCTAATCCATGACTTCTTAGACTTTTGTGAGTTAATTTTTCCATGATTTATGGTTGAACATGTTAAATTATATTAATTCCCTCCAAAATGATTTATTTATTGTATATGAACTATATGCCTATGTGTATATGATGATTTGTGTGAGAAAGCATGCTTATGTGATGTTGTTCTATGTCTGTTATGTTCAAGTTGCTAGAATTGGAAATATGGAAGCATATGATTTTATGAGTTATAAAATTTTCCTTTAACATGGCATTGGAAAGCATAAGACATCCATGCATATCATTGGGCATGAAATGCGAAAATTTGATTTAAATGGAAAGTAGATGGCTTTGGGGAAAAAGCTTGATGAAAGGTTTGTGAAAACCCGAACACCTAGGAGGCGCCTAGTGGTCCATGGTATTAATGTAATCTAGAGGGAATTAGGGAGAGACTCTAGTGTGGTTGAGCTACTTAGGCCTAGACGACGCCATGGAGGTGCCATGTGGT